ATACACAGTGATACAGAGGTACACAGAGATACACAGTGATACAGAGATACACAGTGACACAGAGATACACAGTGATATACAGAGATACACAGGGATACAGAGATGCACAGAGATACAGAGATGCACAGAGATACAGAGATACACAGTGACACAGAAATACACAGTGACACAGAGATACACAGTGACACAGAGATACACAGTGATACAGAGATACACAGCGACACAGATACACAGTGATACAGAGATACACAGTGACACAGAGATACACAGTGATACAGAGATACACAGTGACACAGAGATACACAGTGATACAGAGATACACAGTGACACAGATACACAGATACACAGTGACACAGATACACAGTGACCAGAGATACACAGTGACACAGAGATACACAGTGACACAGAGATACACTGTGATACAGAGGTACACAGAGATACACAGTGATACAGAGATACACAGTGACACAGAGATACACAGTGATACACAGTGATACAGAGATACACAGTGATACAGAGATACACAGTGACACAGAGATACAGAGATACACAGAGATACAGCGATACACTGTGATATAGAGATACACAGTGACACAGAGATACACAGTGATACAGAGGTACACAGAGATACACAGTGATACAGAGATACACAGTGACACAGAGATACACAGTGATACACAGTGATACAGAGATACACAGGGATACAGAGATACACAGGGATACAGAGATACACAGGGATACAGAGATGCACAGAGATACAGAGATACACAGTGACACAGAGATACACAGTGACACAGAGATACACAGTGATACAGAGATACACAGCGACACAGATACACAGTGATACAGAGATACACAGTGATACAGAGATACACAGAGATACAGAGATACACAGAGATACACAGTGATACACAGGGATACAGAGATACACAGTGACACAGATATACACAGTGATACAGAGATACACAGGGATACAGAGATACACAGAGATACAGAGATACACAGTGATACAGAGATACACAGTGACACAGAGATACACAGTGACACAGAGATACACAGGGATACAGAGATACACAGTGATACAGAGATACACAGAGATACACAGTGATACAGAGATACACAGTGACACAGAGATACACAGTGATACACAGTGATACAGAGATACACAGTGATACAGATATACACAGTGATACAGAGATACACAGGGATACAGAGATACACAGAGATACAGAGATACACAGTGATACAGAGATACACAGTGACACAGAGATACACAGTGACACAGAGATACACAGGGATACAGAGATACACAGTGATACAGAGATACACAGAGATACACAGTGATACAGAGATACACAGTGACACAGAGATACACAGTGATACACAGTGATACAGAGATACACAGTGATACAGAGATACACAGGGATACAGAGATACACAGAGATACAGATATACACAGTGACACAGAGATACACAGTGATACAGAGATACACAGAGATACACAGTGACACAGAGATACACAGTGACACAGAGATACACAGGGATACAGAGATACACAGAGATACAGATATACACAGGGATACAGAGATACACAGAGATACAGATATACACAGAGATACAGATATACACAGTGATACAGAGATACACAGAGATACACAGTGATACAGAGATACACAGTGACACAGAGATACACAGTGATACACAGTGATACAGAGATACACAGTGATACAGAGATACACAGGGATACAGAGATACACAGAGATACAGATATACACAGTGATACAGAGATACACAGAGATACACAGTGACACAGAGATACACAGTGACACAGAGATACACAGGGATACAGAGATACACAGAGATACAGAGATACAGAGGAATAGCATAGCCGTCAGAGGTAGGTTTGTTATGATACGATTATATTACTCTTAGAAAAAAGGGTTCCAAAAGGGTTCTTCGGCTGTCCCCATAGGAGATCCCTTTTTGGTTCCAGGTAGAACTATTTTTGGTTCCATGTAGAACTATTTTGGGTTCCATGTAGAACCCTCTGTGTAAAGGGTTCTACATCGATCTCAAAAGGGTTCTACCTGGAACCAAAAGGGTTCTATCTAGAACCAAAAAGGGTTCTTCAAAGAGTTATCCTATGGGGACAGCCGAAGAACCCTTTTAAGTTCTAGATAGCACCTTTTTTTCTAAGAGTGTAGACTACATTTATGTATCCACTTTACAAAGAGAACAGGTCTGTTAAAGACTCATGGCTTTGACAGCAACAATGCATAAAAACATTTTAACACACACACGCACGCACGCGCACACACACACACACACACACACACACACACACACACACACACACACACACTCTCTTTAATGAGGAACTATGATTGAACTATCAGATTCAATTCCTTATTAGATACATGAGTGATGACAATGACGAAAACAACTGCAAGCCACCACAACACAAAGATGCCTGGGAACCAAGATGCATAGCTTGATTTGTATAGTTAACGTACATGAAGGAACAGAAAGACATCATTATTCTCATGATTGGTGGAGACAAGAGTGTTTTGTTGTGGACAGTTGCATCACATTGCTGGCCTCAGGCCTGCGGTTATATTGGTTGTTTTTGGACCCCAAATTATAATCTCTAAAAACTCAATTTTGTATAAATCTGCTTTAAACAAGAGGCTAGTGTCATCACTAACAGATCTCCTATTACTGTCAATGTGTGAAGATTATTGTGTTTTCCTGAGATGTTGGAGTGTGCTCACCACAGGAAGTCTGTTAGATCTGCAGAAACATTGTCTCTCTCTTGCACAACTGCTCCGAGAGCGTCTTCACATCAACTGTCGGTCTCAGTCCCCAAAAGCACACTATTCCCTTTATAGTGACCACAGGGATCTAGTTGAAAGTAGTGCACTATATAGGGAATAGGGTGCTATTTGGGATGAATCGTCTGTCTCAGCTAAACGAATCTGAAGTTCTGGAAAAACACAGGATGAGGTCAGTCAGAAAAAAATGATGAAGTCCTGTTTCAGAGTTCTATCATTTATTTAAGAATAGAAGGGAAATCCCAGAAAAATCACACACAAACACACACACACACACTCACACGCGTCACTCACACACACACAAACGTCACTCACATGCACACACACACACACACACATCACTCACACACACACACGTCACTCACACACACATGTCACTCACACACACACAAACGTCACTCACACACACACACACACGTCACTCACACACACACATCACTCACACACACACACATCACTCACACACACACACACATGTCACTCACTCACACACACACACACTTGTCATTCACTCACACACACACACACATCACTCACACACACACACACGTACACACACACGTCACACACGCACACACACACACGTCACTCACACACACACATGCACACTTGTCACTCACTCACTCACTCACTCACTCACACACACACACACACACACACACACGTACACACATGTCACTCACATGCACACACACGCTTGTCACTCACACACACACGCACACACACATACATGTCACTCACACACACACACACACACACACGTCACTCACACACACACACACACACACACACATCACTCACATGTCACACACACACACACACATCACTCACACAGGCACACACATGTCACTCACATGTCACTCACACACACACATATGTCACTCACACACTCAAACACACACACGTCACTCACACACGCAAACACACACATACACACACACTATCACACACACACACACACACACATACACACATGTCACTCACACACACACACACACACATACACAAACGTCACTCACACACGTCACTCACACACACACACACACACACACACACACACGTGCGCTCGCTATCTCTCTTTCTATCTCTCTCTCAAAGACACAAGGGTTGACCACACCAAAGTACCACGTGGGGATCTGTTTCAGTCCTGTGTGTTGTTCAACAGCGTGGGATTGGTTTTGCAGAATCCAGGTCTTTATCTGTCAGGGCACATTTACTGCAGATCTTCTGCCACAGAGACACGGCAGCCAGCCTCACCAACCACAAAACACACAGCTCGTCTCGCCCTGGCCCCTGCCACCACGGCCACACAGAGAAACAAACACAGCTACCGGAAACGTGGAAAGAAGGCGGTGATTTGCAGAGTTGTTTTGGGTATCGGTCCTAACAGTATTCTGTTAGAATGTACTGTAAACTCTATCGTTATCTCTTTGAGTAAATATGGACAGTGAAAATACAATAGCAGTGTGTTGGCTGATGCATTATTATTCAATGTTTGTTCTGTCTCCATCTGCTGGCATTGACTAGTAGACTCACTGTGGTCACTAAAGATCCCATGGCACTTATCGTAAGAGTAGGGGGTGTTAACCCCGGTGTCCTGGCTAAATACCCATTCTGGCCCTCATACCATCATGGCCACTTAATCATCCCCAGCTTCCAATTGGCTCATTCATCCCCCACACCTCTCCCTTGTAACTATTCCCCAGGTCATTGTTGTAAATGATAATGTGTTCTCAGTCAACTTACCTGGTAAAATAAGGGTTAAATACAAAATACATGTATCTTGAGCAATATTGGACAGACCAACAGCCAGAGAGAATGGAACCAAAATACAGGCCTGTCCTGAAATCATCATCAAATGGTTGTTTTTTTATAACGTAATGTTTACTGGTATTTGGTCATACTGTACCAGTCAACGAGATCTGTTGTCAATAATGGCCTAGGATGATATCATTACACGGTCATCACAGTATTATCATATTGATGCTGCTGCAGAGAGCGACGACATCCCCCAGGACGAGCCAGTGATTGCTGTCGGGGGGAATGAATTATCCAGGCAGCATGCGCGAGAGAGGAACCCCCCCCCCCCCCCCCCCCCCCCCCCCCCCCCTCCCCCCGGTCGAACACAAGGAATCTCTTCTACAGTCTACCGCGCCCCGGTGGAACATCATGTCTGCTATGAGGACATTGACCGTAGCAGGACTGTTTTTGGCTTTTTGCGCGTTGGGACTCATAGCAGTCGCAATATGTACTGACAATTGGTACGAGACGGATGCGAGGAGGCACAGGGAACGTTGCAAGAATTATTCCAACAAAAGGAATGACCCTGGATTCATCTATATCTCCAACCAGAACCTCCCACTCCGTATGCTACCGAAGGAGAATAACGTGGAGAGGAAGGGGTCGAGTGGGGGAGTCCTCCTGCGGGCTAAGCGGCACTTCTTGCCCCCTGCCCCGGCCATGGAATCCCTCTGTAGTCGGCAGTACAACTCCACCATCTCTGGGCTGTGGAGGAAATGTCATCGGGAGGGATTCGACCTGGAGACAGAGGATCTCATCTTTAAAGGTTTCGTCATTTGATCACTTCACATGATACACAATATATGTTTTATTGCATATATAATGTCAGTGGCGCTATAGTATTTGTTTACAAGATCTATTTATGCTCATTGATGTGGTGAACCGAGCGAATCATCATCGGAATTTGGAGCGCTGCATGAGGCGCTATCCGAGGTGCTGAATGCTGATCTAGCGGTTAGCGGTCCGCCCACATTCAGGCCTGTGCAGCAGCAACAACAAGGCTTTTTATCCATCATTTGATAACACTGTGACGCTAATGTGACAATCGAACACAGTCAATGTTTGATTTATTTGCGCCATCTCAACGTTGTCAGTGTTTTCACGAGGACCGTACTGTACTGTACTAGACTAGGCCCCACTTGTCTGTTTGGTGCTTTTGGAGAGAAGCCTACAGGCTACAGAGCTGCAGTTAAGACTGTAAGCCAATGAAAACAACACTGAATATAAACACTGACAGTATGTGATGAATCTATGCTACTAGACATTTTATTTTTCTCAGGTAGGCTACATATGCAATAATATTTGTCATTTCAATATGGCCTCTCCATGTGAAACTATGTTTGTTTTTGTTCCTTCTCTGCAGGTTTGGTTCAGCGCTGCACACCGATAAAATACTCCTACTCCTCTTTAGCCTTCCCCAGAAAGCTGCGCAGCAATATAACCAAGACTATTCGTCAGGATGAGTGGCATGCGCTCCGTAAGTTACCACAATAACAACAACAATAATAATAATAACCCTTTCAATCTCCATCGGGTGAATACCAACAGTCTACTATAGCACCCATCAGGGGTAACAACTATGTCATCTCATAATGATCCTGACTAAATAACAGACATTATGATTCAGTTAAAAAATGTCCTTCATAGATGAATTACCATATTATAAGCATTTACATTACAGTCATTTAGCAGACGCTCTTATCCAGAGCGACTTACAGTTAGTGAATACATGTTTTTTTTATTGTTTTTTTTTTATACTGGCCCCCCGTGGGAATCGAACCCACAACCCTGGCGTTGCAAACGCCATGCTCTATCAACTGAGCTACATCCCTGCCGGCCATTCCCTCCCCTACCCTGGACGACGCTGGGCCAATTGTGCGCCGCCCATGAGTCTCCCGGTCGCGGCCGGCTGCGACAGAGCCTGGATTCGAACCAGGATCTCTAGTGGCACAGTTAGCACTGCGATGCAGTGCCTTAGACCACTGCGCCACTCAGGACACAAAGCCTTATTAGAATACTTCATAAAGCCTCATACATGCTTTTAACAAGTTATAAAGCGTTATCCCTGCAGGTTTTAGGTAAAGTGTTACCAAGATTGTATGTTTGCTGTCGTTTGACGTCTTGATCTAATTTCTTCATCCAATTCCTCTCTCCCTGTGTAGACCTGCAGAGAATGACAGCCAGTTTCATCGGCATGGCCGTGTCCATCATCCTGTTTGGTTGGGTGATTGGAGCTCTGGGTTGTTGTAAACAGCATGACCTGATGCAGTACGTAGCTGGACTCCTGTTTCTCATGGGGGGTGAGTGGAGAACTGTTTTACACACACACACACACACACACACACACACACACACACACACACAGTACGCAGTACGTAGCGGGACTGCTCTTCCTCAGGGGAGGCGAGGACTGAGAGTTGCTGTACAATAGAGGAACAGAGCATTACCACAAAGCACCACTTGCAGGCGCCAGAGTGTTTGTTATGGCGAGTGAGGCATTGTGTGAGTCCCTATGACAACAGCCCCATGGGCCCTATAAAGGGTAGTAGGGTTCCATTGGTCCTGCTGAATTCTAAATCTACCTCAAGTCCAGCCCCTATACTCTAGCCACTCCTGTAGAATCTGAGAGGATTGGATAGATATCATTATTATCTTGCCCTCTGATTGGCTGGGGTAGGAGTCCTCTCAGATCTGCAGGAGTGACTAGGTATTAGGGACTAGGGAGTAGGGAGTATGGACTAAGGTTAGATTTGAAATGCAGAAATAATTATAATTCCCTCGACAAATGCATGAAACGGTTCATATATATTGTCCATGTATGTAGAGGATGGCCAGAAAGGAAGAACATGTGTGTCACATGGGTGAAATAATCCCCCCCTATCTTTCTCTCTCCCCCCCTCTCTCTCTACCCCCTCTCTCTCTCTCTCTCTCTCCCCCCTCTCTCTCTACCACTCTCTCCTCTCTCTCTCGTCCTCTCTCTCCTCTCCTCTCTCTCTCTCTCTCTCTCTCTCCTCTCTCCCTCTCTCTCTCTCCCTCCCCCTCTCTCTCTTGTTATCTCTCTCACTCCCCCCCTCACTCCCCCCCTCACTCTCCCCCCTCCATCTCCCCCCTCTCTCTCCCCACCTCTCTCTCTCTCCCCACCTCTCTCTCTCCCCCCTCTCTCTCTCTCATTCTCTCTCCTCTCTCTCCCCCCTCCCATCCCCCCCTCTCCTCCCTCCCCTCTCTCTTCTCGCCCCCTCCATCTCTCCCCCCCCTTTTCTCCCCCCCTCTCTTGCTCTCGCTCTCACTCTCTCTCGTTCTCTCTCGTTCTCCCCCCTCTCCCCCCATCAGGAACATGCTGTATCATCTCTCTGTGTACATGTGTAGCAGGGATCAACTTTGAACTGTCCCGTTATCCTCGCTACATGTATGGGATCCCAGAGGACATCAGTCATGGATACAGTTGGTCCATGTTCTGCGCATGGGGAGGCCTAGGTCTCACCCTATTGGCCGGCTTTCTGTGCACGCTGGCTCCTTCCCTCTACCCACCCGTACCTCACACTATGGTAGAGAAGCTGCAACACAAGCCCCGACATGAGAATGGCTGTGTGTGACACCATATAAATAGAATTACTATTTGACTTAAATGGGAATATCCATTCTAGTAATGGGAATGTCCATTCTAGTAATCGGAATGTGTGTTCTAGTAATGGGAATGTCCGTTCTAGTAATGGGAATGTGCGTTCTAGTAATGGGAATGTCCGTTCTAGTAATGGGAATGTCCATTCTAGTAATGGGAATGTCCATTGTAGTAATAGGAATGTCTGTTCTTGTAATGGGAATGTCCATCTTAGTAATGGGAATGTCCATTCTAGTAATGGGAATGTCCGTTCTAGTAATGGGAATGTCCGTTCTAGTAATGGGAATGTCCGTTCTAGTAATGGGAATGTCCATCTTAGTCATGGGAATGTCCATTCTAGTCATGGGAATGCATCTAGTAATGGGAATGTCCATTCTAGTTATGGGAATGTCCATTCGGGAATGTCTGTTCTAGTAATTCTATTTCTATGTATGGCACTCTGCCAAACCTTCAACTCCCAGTGACAGAAGTGTGTGACCGTGTCAGCGTCTGCCAGACTTTCCAGTGACAGGACTCTCATCCCTCCTGAGTCTCTACTCCATGCTCTGACAGTCAGTCATCCCTTCCTCTGAAAAAATATGTTGATATGGGCTGTTCTCACTGGACTGGGGACGTTACCCAGGGACTAAGAACTAAGATCTGTCTGACACACAGCATTGATTGCACAAAGAAAGAAACAGACAAAAATACATTGATTCTGGCTCTTCAGCTTGAGGGGAATATGTTAGTGTCGGATGAAGACATTTTACTGAAGAGGAATTCAAATCTTCTTCTGGTGCTTTCTGTCCTCCTCTTCCTCCTCTTCCTCCTCCCCAACCCAAACTGTCAACAGCTACATAATTATATTTCTGTCCCATAATGAATTGTTCAGTGTTTTTGCTTGTTATTACAAGAGGAGAAAAGTTACTCTCCTAAATATCTTCCTGTACCTTTGACCTTTGATGCTGGTTCTACAAAATCGAAGAAGACAGAAGAACAACTTTAAGGGTCGAATTCTAACTTCCACTGCAGTGTTCACTTAAGGGCTGTGTTCAATCTGGATCGCTGAAGCGTTACAGATTGCGCGATAGAAATGTGAAATGTAATTTCCGATTGAGCCGACATATGCAGTGTTTACCATGAATGCAGTCGCCGCTAACACGGGAACATTGCCTTTAAATTTAAATCAAGCTGTAACGCTGAACTTCCGCGATACGTATTGAATAGAGCCCTTAGCCTCCCACTGACGTCAACGCATGGCCAAGTGAAAATTCAACATATTCCCCCTAAGACTTCATAAAGATGAAAATGAGAGCAATCATGTACTGTATGTACCCATTGAAATAATATGTAAATTACATTTTGATAATGTATGCAGGTTTGCATTTGTGCGTATTCAAAGAAAACATGAGCATTAAGATCCAAGACTGTATTTGATGGGAAATGTTTTGATGTTCTTGAAGTTTTACTGATCTTGATAGCCCGTCCAATCAAGATATATTGGAAAAATAAAATGATGATACAAACCGTTGCTCTTGTGGTTGTGAATGTATATTACTATTATTAATGTATACTACTATTATTAATGTATACTACTATTATTAATGTATATTATTAATGTATGCTACTATTATTAATGTATATTATTAATGTATACTACTATTATTAATGTATACTAACTATTCATCAAATGTATATTATTCATGTATCTACTATTATGATGTATAACTACTAGTATTAATGTATATGTATTACTACTACTATTAATGTATAATACTATTACTAATGTATCTATTGATGTATCTACTATTTTACTGTATAACTACCCTTATTAATGTATACTATATATTAATGTATATTATTAAGGTATACTACTATATTAATGTATACTACTATTATTAAGGTATACTACTATTATACAGATAGAGGTTTCCAATCAATCCAGTCCCAGACTCTGTCTGAAGCTCTGTGAAAAGATACAGTGATACTGGCTGATGGCAAGAGTTAACGTAGAAACAATCACACGGCCGGAGAAAACGAGTCCTCTAGAACCTTTCTGTCATTAACAACAGCATTTTTATAACAGCGGTTGTTTTGCATTGTGGCTCGCAAAAAATCCAGGAGATTGGTAGCTGGCAGGCAGGTGGGCTGGCCAAGCTGCAGGGCTGGCTGGCAGGCGGCAGGCTGCGGTATCTTATACTTGATTCGGCCTAGATGTTCAGTCGCCGAGTTGCATGGCTCATCTTTAAACTGTCAAAGCTATTTGTATTGAGATCCATTGTGCTAGCTATCTTCTTGCCACTGTCGCAACTATGCATACTGATTGTTACTCTGATTAATACAATATACAAACAATAGTATTAGTATTTTCCCTAAATTGATTCCCTCATTGACAATGATGACACGGTCTAAGGAAAGTGTCCTGTCTTAGCTTAGGCGGTAAACGGGTTTCTAGTCTCTGAGTGCTACTCGGTATCCTCCCTTTCACCATATAGTTCGTCTACCATTGAGAGAGTCAGTGCAATTGATTGGAGAGAGTGGAGAGACATAGTAATATAGATACGACAGACTGTTCCTCTCATTTTCTGTCTGTCTGTGTCTGCGCGCTCTCTCTCTGGCTCTCTCGCTCTCTCTGACGTATCTCTCGTACTCTCTCTTATCTCGTATAGTATGTCTCTGTATCTCTCGTCTCGTCGTCTCATCTCGTCTCATCTCTCTCTCTCGTAGATCCGTACTCTCTCTCTCTCTCTCTCTCTCTCTCCTCTCTCTCTCTCTCTCTCTCTCTCTCTCTCTCTCCTCTCTCTCTCCTCTCTCTCTCTCTCTCTCTCTCCTCAATTCCATTTCAATTAAGGGCTTTATTGGCATGGGAAACGTATATTAACATTGCCAAAGCAAGTGAAGTAGATAGTAAACAAAAGTGAAATAAACAATAAATATTAACAGGAAACATTACACTCAGAAGTTCTAGAAGTTTATCTAAATTGGACTTGTTTTCAAATTCTTTGTGGGTCTGTGTAATCTGAGGGAAGTATGTGTCTCTAATATGGTCATTACATTTGGCAGGAAGCTAGGAAGTGCAGCTCAGTTTCCACCTCATTTTGTGGGCAGTGTGCACATAGCCTGTCTTCTCTTGAGAGCCAGGTCTGCCTACGGCGGCCTTTCTCAATAGCAAGGCTATGCTCACTGAGACTGTACATAGTCAAAGCTTTCCTTAAGTTTGAGTCAGTCACAGTGGTCAGGTATTCTGCCACTGTGTACACTCTGTTTAGGGCCAAATAGCATTCTAGTTTGCTCTGTTTTTTTGTTAATTCTTTCCAATGTGTCAAGTAACTATAATATAAAAAAGTAACTCTCTTTTTGTTTTCTCATGATTTGGTTGGGTCTAATTGTGTTGTTGTCCTGGGGCTCTGTGGGGTCTGTTTGTGTTTGTGAACAGAGCCCCAGGAACAGCTTACTTAGGGGACTCTTCTCCAAGTTAATCTCTCTGTAGGGATGGCTTTGTTATTGAAGGTTTTGGAATCGCTTCCTTTTAAGTGGTTATAGAATTTAACGGCTCTTTTCTTGATTTTGATAATTAGCGGGTATCGGCATAATTCTGCTATGCATGCATTATTTTGTGTTTTTCATTGTACACGGAGGATATTTTTGCAATTTGTTTGTTTGTCCCATTTTGTGAATTCTTGGTTGGTGAGCGGACCCCAGACCTCACAACCATAAAGGACATTGGGTTCTATAACTGATTCAAGTATCTTTAGCCAGATCCTAATTGGTATGTCGAATTTTATGTTCCTTTTGATGGCATAAAAGGCAATTTTTGCCTTGTCTCTCAGATCGTTCACAGCTTTGTGGAAGTTACCTGTGGCGCTGATGTTTAGGCCAAGGTATGTATCGTTTTTTGTGTGCTCTAGGGCAACGGTGTCTAGATGGAATTTGTATTTGTGGTCCTGGCAACTGGACCTTTTTTGGAACACCATTATTTTTGTCTTACTGAGATTTACTGTCAGGGCCCAGGTCTGACAGAATGTGTGCAGAAGATCTAGGTGCTGCTGTAGGACCTCCTTGGTTGGGGACAGAAGCACCAGATCATCAGCAAACAGACTTCAGATTCTAGTAGGGTGAGGCCGGGTGCTGCAGACTGTTCTAGTGCCCTCGCCAATTTGTTGATATGTATGTTGAAGAGGGTGGGGCTTAAACTATATCCCCCTGTCTCACCCCATGGCCCTGTGGAAAGAAATGTGTGTGTTTTTTGCCAATTTTAACCGCACACTTCTTGTTTGTGTACATAGATTGAATACGTGATCTGTCGTACGGTAATTTGGTAAAAAGCCAATTTGACATTTGCTCAATACATTGTTTTCACTGAGGAAATGAACTAGTCTGCTGTTAATGATAATGCAAAGGATTTTCCCAAGGTTGCTGTTGACGCATATCCCACAGTAGTTATTGGGTCAAATCTGTCTCCACTTTTGTGGATTGGGGTGATCAGTCCTTGGTTCCAAATATTATAAGCTTATATTATAAGCTAAGGATGATGTTAAATAGTATAGCCAATTGGAATTTGTGGTCTGTATATTTTATCATTTCATTGAGGATACCATCAACACCACAGGCCTTTTTGGGTTGGAGGGTTTGTATTTTGTCTTGTAGTTCATTCAATGTAATTGGAGAATCCAGTGGGTTCTGGTAGTCTTTAATAGTTGATTCTAAGATTTGCATTTCATCATGTATATATTTTTGCTGTTTGTTCTTTGTTATAGGGCCAAAAAGATTGGAGAAGTGGTTTACCCATACAGTTGAAGTCGGAAGTCTACATACACTTAGGTTGTAGTCATTAAAACTCATTTCTCAACCACTCCACAAATGTATTGTTAACGAACTATAGTTTTGGCAAGTTGGTTATGACATCTACTTTGTGCATGACACAAGTAACTCTTCCAACAATTGTTTACAGACAGATTACTTCACTTATAATTCACTGTATCACAATTCCAGTGGGTCAGAAGTTTACATACACTAAGTTGACTGTGCCTTTAAACAGCTTGGAAAATTCCAGAAAATGATGTAATGGCTTTAGAAGCTTCTGATAGGCTAATTGACATCATTTGAGTCAATTGGAGGTGTACCTGTGGATGTATTTCAAGGCCTACCTTCAAACTCAGTGCATCTTTG